GGTGAACAGGAAGTGGAGGCAGGCTAGAAAACCTCAAATCCCACCCCCAGTGACCCACTTCCTCTAACAAGACTCCATCTTCTAAAGGTTTTGCAACCTTCCTAAACACACCATCGGCTGGGGACCAAGTGTCAGAACACACTTGGAAGGAGGGACACATTTCACTTCCAAATCACAGCGTTGCCTTCTCTCCACAGCTTGGACAGACACTTCCTCTGGTGTGCTTGATAACAGCGATCCTGACAAGCGGGAGACCATCAATCCTTTACTTGTTTGTTATTTGTTATATGTTGTTATTTACTTTTCCCTAGCGATTGGTGATGGTGACCACATGTATATCTTCTCTCGAAATATGTCTATTCAGGTCTTTTGCCCATTTGACTGGGATTATGTAGTTTTCTTGCTCTTGAGTTATGACGGGTTCCTTACATACTTAGGATGTTCACACTAATCGAGTCCACATGAGTGACTACTTTGGGGGATAAAGGAAAATGAAGAAAAGATGGGGTGAGACAGGCAGAGAGACACCAGTGTATATCTTCATTTTTTTTTTTAGAAATCCTGAAATTGTAGTAAAATAATAAACCCTGTGGATTTATTCTCCCCTCTCATTCAGCTATGGCGTGTGCCCCGTGCATGTGGGGATGGGGTGTGGAGAGACCAGCCTCACGTGTCATTCCACAGGTGCCGTCCGCTTTGTTTTTTTGAGGCTGGCTTGCAACCTGCTGATTCAGTGAGTCTGGCCTCTGAGCCCCAAGAACCCTCCTGTGTCTGCTTCCCCAGCTCTGGGATTATCGAGGGTTCGCACCATGCCCAGCCTTTTACATAGGTGTGAGCGACCGAACTCAGTTTCTTGTGCTTGCCTGGCAAGCACTTTGCCAGCTGAGTCTGATCCCTGGCTTCTATCGTTTTTTTAAGTGTTTTAAGAATAAGGAAAAACAACTAAAGCTGGCACATATCTGGCCTGAGGCGAAGGAGAATTGTCCAGTGTATCCCACCACTCTTTGGGGAGTTACCGTCATTGTCCTGGCATCACACAGCCAACTTGCTACAGAAATGGGCATCAATTCAGCCCCCCTCCATTCCATGCCTGCCTTTTCTGGAAACGGCACATGCTTGCTGTTCCGGGCAAGTATTCAAGTTATTTGCAGCCTGAAGTGTTCTATGGATTTGCTAAACCAAGAGAAGTCGAGGGAGGGAGAAGTTTAAATCACTGTGGTTGCAGCCACTGCTAGAGCAGAGGGCTTCCCCCAGGGTAAAGTCAATGAGGGCCAAGGAGTGAGGGGATGGAAATAAAGCACTTTTACTCCTCTGGAGCAGATCTGCTAGGCCCCCACAGGCATCTCTCTTCTTCCTCGCTCACCAAGTAAACACAGATGCCCAGGCAAAGACATCCACCTGCAGACAGCGAGTCAAGAAAGCAGGTGTGGATAGCTAGAGAGACTCCTGTACAACGGAGCCCTTCCCTGGGTGAGGAGGGGACCTGCAACCACAAGGGAAGTAGGGAAGGCTGGGGACTCATGGGAACAGCTCTGCGGAGAGACAAAAAACACACAATAATGTAAAGCAGGCTCTAGGATGCCATGCTTAGCCCTGACCTGCGGCAGTATTTGAAAGTACAGTGCAAACTGGATGTATTGCCAGACTGCCTTCTGTGCTTGTGGGTGTGCATGTGCACACACACACACACACATACACACACACACATATATATATATATATATATATATATATATATATATATATATTGAAAGAAGGTCTTATATAGCCCAGTCTAACCTCAAATTTGAATTCCCTATGTAGCCAAGGATAGCCTTGAACTCTTGATCCTCCTGTCTCCACCTCCCTGTTTCTGGGTCTATAGGCACATACCATCACTTCTAGTTCATTTGAGGATATAGCCCAGGGCTTCCTGCATGCTAGGCTGGTATCCTGCCCACAGAGCCACGTCACCAGCCTGATCCTTTCCCCAAAGCTGCAGTTCTAGGGGTGCTCACAACCTCATCTACATGACAATTAAGCCCTCCCCATATTTTGAGGTAGTGGAGTGGAGGCTTTCAATTCTTTCAGTCATGATGCCTCTGGGGTCTCTAGACCCCCAAACAGAGAGTTGCTGGGCCCCTGTGGCAAGAAGCTTCCCTCGTCTGTAGAACCTCCGACGATCCTGGCACTTACTCCTCTGTGCGGATTTCACAACAGCCCGATCTGACCGGGTAGGCGAAAGGTAGATCAGAAAGAAATATAATTACCTTTTTACAAGCTTATGACATGGCTCTAGCCTGCTCGCCTGCCAGCTTGTCCAGTCACTCACAAATGATGATATACATACTATAAATTATATCATTATCGAGCTGTAATTACAGGCAACGTATATGCCAACCCCCCTGAAGGAGATCGAGGCTCCAAGATTACGTCCCTTCTCGCCCCTCAGTCCCTTGGGAAAGAAAGCCTATTGCGAGAGGGGAGGTTACTGATTTCCAAATATCACAGACGCTTGCTTAAAACAACAGAGACGCCCCCCTCTGTCCTCTTGTATACACACCCCCGGGCTCCCCCAGGGTAGATCCGTGCACCCCACGGCACCCACAAAGTCTGAGGCATTGGCAAGAACAAATTTGAACAAGTGAGGGCAAAAATCTACAAGCAAGACTGACAGCGGAGCCACCCTGGGTCTCGGAGCCCCAGAAGGAACTCCAAGATGTACAACAGGATACTAGAGCCAGGCATGGTTGGAAGTTGTTTCCGTGTGTGTGTGTGTGTGTGTGTGTGTGTGTGTGTGTGTGTGTGTGTGTATGTGCACTGTTACTCCCAAAGATACCCTCATGTCCTGACGGCCGTTCCTCCGGTACCGCTGCAATGCAGGGTCATATATCTCTGCATCATCTTGCAGGGTGGCCTTCGGGCTGGGCCTGACTGAGATAGTGTTGAGCCACCAGGTCCCTGTGTTCAGATTCAGTTGCTTCTGAACCCTCTTGGGCTTAGGCTGGGAGCATAAAGATCCTCCCTTTACATCCCACTAGGGACTTGGTTCCTCCCTTCCTTTCATGGACTCCTCTGGCTCGGGGAGATCAGACTTTCAAAGGAGAAGCCTCCTTCTCTGGAGCTAGAAGAGAATAGCCCAAGACCCAAGGACCGTGACTTTAAATCAACCAGGCTTTAGAGCAATGGGCAAGACTTGGGAATCAGACAATGACAAGTGGCGGGGCTGGTTAGGAAAGGCAGGTGCAGGAGGGGGAGGGATCACTAGGAACTTTTCAGGGAGCTGAGCGGAAGATACCAGCCCAGAAACCATTTTGATTAAGGCATGAAGAGGACTGAGGATGTGCTTAGGGGGCAGAGTGCCTGCCTAGCATGCACAAAGCCCTGAGGTTGATCCCCGGTACGGCATACAACTGGGCATGTATGCACATCTGTAATCCCAGCACTCTGGAGTGGAGGCAGGAGGATCAGGAGTTCAAGTCATCCTTGGCTACGTAATGAGTTTAAGATCAGACTAACCTACACAAGCTGGTATCTCAAAAGCAGGGATGGATGGTCTGGGATGTGAGATAGTTGGGAATTCTATCATCCGGGGAGTGTTCCAACTGAGGATTATGGGGAGCAACTTGAGATTGGAAAGGCCAGCTCCCACTCCATCCCCAGCCCACATTTCCTCCTACAATCCTGCATTCATCCAACCTGGACCTTTGTTTTGTTTTTTGTTTTTTGGTTTTTTGAGACAGGGTTTCTCTTTGTAGTTTTGGTGCCTGTCCTAGATCTTACTATGTAGACCAGGCTGGCCTTGAACTCACAGAGATCCGCCTGGCTCTGCCTCCTGAGTGCTGGGATTAAAGGTGTGCGCAGCCGCCGCCGCCGGGCAACCTGGACCTCTTTACCCCAATCACCTCCTAACACTCCCTGGCCTTCCCTCCTTCCTCTTCCTGCCCCAGACCTCTCCTGATACCTCCTCCTTCTCAGTCCCTGGTCTCATTTAGCAAGTGGCAGCCCAAAAGGCTCACTATGAGGGTATACCCACCCTGATCCCAGATAACCCTGTCCTGGCCCACCTGCCGCTACCAGCCTTGTCCTCGCAGTACCAGGAACAGGAAGTGGAAGAAGATGCTGGGGACAAAAAGGCTTTGCTCAGGCTCCCAAGTAGCAAGCTCAAAGCGGCCGCAAGCCTCCGCCATCTGGTTGGCAGCCGACCCCAACTACAGCTCGTCCTTGAATCACATCTTGTAAAAAAAAAAAAAAAATCATTTGCACATTTGAGTTCCAAGTCCCCTCAAAACGGTATAAACACCACCGTTCTGAGTACCATAAAAACCACAGCGAACATTTGTGGAGACTCAAACAT